CACAGCGGAATTGGTTCAAGTGGGTGGTTCATGTACATATTTATGTGTTAATATATACATAAAGAGAGGAAGACATAGAGGGATTCGCATTTATATACTAACACAGCACATAAATCACCTTGTTCTGTTTGAAAAGGCAGGGGGATGTCAAACATTATTCATAAAAACATATTATGTGCTTTGTCTCCTTTGTTGGGCAGAATTCCATCGTGGACCAAACAAACCAAAGATTACAGACAGTGTTTATGCTGCACAGTTTTTACTTATCCTACCCCCACGCACAATACAGGCAACAAAACAAACCCCAGGATTGTTACGATGTTTACCAGGGACTGCTTAAAGGGAAAACAACCACCCAACCAAACAGAAAACATCCCTTTCAGCAAAGCTTTTCAAAATCAGGGAAGAATAAGAACAGAACAGGTTTATGAATACATCTGCACGAAACTAAAACGGATGTGTACTTGCTCAAATCTTACCAAACTCAAACTGGTGTATACTTCTCCTAGAACACAGCCTCACCATATATATGTACAAGCAAAGTTGTGACACCCTTGTATGCCACCATTTTCCCCAAAGGCATGCAGGTTAGGTTTGATTAGTGCCTCTAGCTTGACCCTTCTTAAGGGGGAGTTTTCCCATTAGAACCAGCACTGGACATGTAACTAGAAAGACACAGAACGAATTAAGCACACAGGACCAAAGAGGCTCCACACATCTGTAGCCATTTCAATATTCCATAGACAAACTGATGGGGGACCATAATAATATTTTCAATTCCATAAAATGAACAAAAAAACTATTGGATTTCCTACAAGGAAACATTGGGTCCTACACTGGATTGCCTTTATCCATTAATATAATTACAATTATCCATTAATATAATTAAAGACATGTATGCAATGAAATCAAAATGTACACTAAACAGATCTGACACAAATTCTCTTAGAATAAATACGTTTGCGCCATCATTAATGGCCCTGCCTGCTGTCAAAAGTCATAATTGTATATCCGAACTAAAATGACATGCCTAAAAGGGGTACTGCAGATAAAATAAAACACACAGCGCTGGATTATATATAGTAGCTTTCTATTGCTATGCCTGAATGAGCTTCTATCCTGCTTGTTCCATGAGACACTCAATATCAATATTTTGAAACAAACACTTTGGTTGAAGGTAAACACAGGAGACCAGGCAAATTATGGGGTTTAATGCATCGCTCCAGTTGCAGAAGCACTCTGTGCCCAGTTCTTTTCAAGCTTAATTGTGAGCTTTGATTAGATTTTAAAAGGCGAGCTTAAGCGAAAGCCTGTTATATGCAATTTACGCTTATTAGGAAGCCGTTTCGCAAGGATTAATTATCAGGCCAATTATTTGGAATTGTATCACGCAAAAGGTTAGCTGTAGGTGACAGGGGAAGGGAAAGAGACCCGCGGCTACGCAGCCTCCACAAGCTGGTGTGTTTTAATGGTGTCTGAAATGAGCTTGCCTGGAGAGCGAATTACACTGACCTGGATAATCCACACTCCTAGTGAAGAGCTGGAACGAAACAGGGAGCCCTTTAACCCCGAGTCTGGCCAACAGGCACGCAACCTGTCCACATCGCAGGCGTTAACGAGCAGGGGAGTGTCTCTGCAGAGAGCAGCAGGAGTTCTCTGTGCTGGTTTCACTTTACAGCGCTGCCCACACTGGCAGCCTTAAAACAACGCGCCTCACCCCTCCTTCCTCGCGGTCCTTCTCCGAGAATTATGTCTTTCCTGCTCTACACTTGTCTTGCAAGTAGCTGCCCTGGAAAGAAAAGGATTCTTTTTTTTCTTTCCCCCACAGTTCAATCAGGCAGAGATACACGGAGTCATACTACTAGTTACATTACCCTTTGGTATTTGTACTGGCAGAAAACAAAGAGCCTGTGCTAGCATTCACGGGTTAAATTGGACCGGAGACAATCAGGAACGGCAGCAGGGAACAGTTCGGAAAGCAACAGGACATTTTGTCAAATTGGGGCAGCACTGTTATTTTATTACACTGTCATGTATAGCAAATCCGTCCTTACATTACAGTCATCATGTCTTCCAGACCACGGCATCACACTGGCCATCTCCCAGAGCCATGTTCACCGCGCAAGAGGAACAGGATCTATATTTGCAAAAGGACCTTAAAACCTGATGAGCCTGGCCTGTGATTGATTATGATAATACAGTTTACAGTTCAGTTCCAGAGTCCTGGCAGCGGACTCAGAATTCTGAGCATCAATCTATATGCAAGTTTGCTCTGGTGAGTGAATGAAGGAAACATCAATGCCACATACTAATTGGCATTTAAGGCTTTGTCTCCAGTGCACTTACAAACCTTCTTCAGATTGCTCACCCAGGGAGTCCTGCGCACAACTTATTATTTTTTAAGCGTCTGAAGCCTCATTTTTCTGCTGAGTAAAACAATCTGCAAAAACAGGGAGATGGCACGTGCCTTTTCAAGCTGTTATATACTGGAGCACCCAGGCAGCCACTATTTCCCAGTCATCTCTGCGCCTGGCAACTTAAATGAGGAATTAGTCACGTTTGTTAGGATCCCATTTTTTTTCCCATTAGAAAAAGTCTGCCTTTTTCCTAACCTTTTCCTCAGCAACGCTCCCAAGAATAAAAGGCGTCGGACCACAAGGAAAGACAAATCCCGAGCGCAGCAGCTTCGTTTATTATTTTTTATTACAGCATTCTAAAATGTTTCTAGGATGAAGTGCTATCAAGCATTTAGATAAAAAGTCCTTTAAATGAGCAGCTGAAAACTCGGTGCAATCAGGCGATTTTGTTGTGCTGAATTTTAAGCGGAAAAACTCAAAAGAACTGCTGCTTACTTTAGCTTGAAGACATTATTAAGAGTGAGAATATATATATATTTTCCCCATGAATAATATATTTCCTGGCATTTACAGTGGTGGGCTTTCTAGAGGATCAAGGGACCTTGCTGCCAGTCATCCAGAGCACAGCGTGACAACTGTTCTCCATCAGCTGTCACAGGGGCTTCTACTCTTTATTTATTTAACTGTTCTTCCATTTTATCCCACTTTGTTTTTGGAACAGCATGATTCTGAAAAATTCAGCATTAAAACCCGTTTTTTCATCCCCTCTCCCTCTCTCTCCTGCACTGCTCCCTCGAAGTCATGCTACGGATTTATTGCCCCAGTGGTTTTTATTTCCTAATTATTTACAGCGCTGCCTGTCTGGACCAATCTAGAATAAAACAGCTGGAAAATTCAAATGGTTTGCATTTATTTTTATTTTATTGTAGATCGGAGCTCCTGGGGCAGACGAATAGCACGCCTATTTCTTTTTAGGTCTTCCATATGGAACAGTCACTCCACATTACCGCCTGCAAGATGGAAAGTCTCCCATCAGTGTATCTTAGTGACAAAGACATGTGATCTCATTCACTGTGGAGAGTACACTTTCTCTGCACTTGTGAATCCCAGCATTGAGCGGCCTACTGTTTCAGAGCAATTGTTTTTAGTTTTTCTCGCACTTCACTTTAAAAAATAACATGTCAAATCAAGGACTCAGAAATATCGAAGAGATAATTTAAATAGGAAGTAAACTGCATCTGGCACCTGCCCTTCAATTTGCTACAGATGACAGGGCTCATTGAACTGTACCGAATGCTTCAGCAAAGACACCGCATGGCGCAGCTGTAAGGAAATCAGGATGTCAGCGCCACCCAGTGGCGACACGGGAAAGTGACGGCTCCAGACTCCGTGAAATTCTTATAGCTGCAAGCTATTATTCAACAGTGACATTTCCCAGACAATCAATATCTCATCATTGGCAGTCAACACAACCCGGTTTCACTCCCTGGAAACACTGAGTGCTTACTGCAGAGAGGCAGGGTACTGTGTGTGTATTTTCACATATTCAACCAAAAGGCTCCAAGTACTTTCATGCTTTGATAAACGCAGACAAACCCACAGCAGACAGAAATAAAAAGTCTTCTGATAGAAAAGATACATTACTATGCCAAGAGAGGAATAGGTAATAGGTCTTCACCAACAGAATGAGTACGGGCTGGGATACACTTTTTAAAAAGTAAAGTACATTCTCCAGTCTACTGTAGCTCAACCCAGCTATAGACAGAAGAGCTAGAGACATTCTTCATTTTTTACTGAAGACTTTGTTAGTGCTGGACAGCCACTGTGCTGCGATTACACAGCTGAATAAAAAAAAGAGTGTGCTAATTTCATTGAGAGCAACAAAATAAAACACTCTCAGGAGCCGCATTTGAGACCCCTGACCCAAGCCTGTCTCAAGTCACGCAAACGCAAAGCAATGGGACTCCTAAACTCGCCAGAGGATTACCAGCAAAGCCTGGTGTCTGTCTCCCACTGCAGATCAGCCCGGACAAAACAAGACAAAGGCAGACCTGCAGCACGTCAGTCAGATCACCTCGTTCTCTTTCTTCCAGAGGCCGAGAGCTCAACCCAAGGACGGATTTTAGCAGGGGATTGGAGATTGGATCAGGTGATGATGTCAGGGAAGGAGACGCATTGATAAAATAAGAATTTATAATCCATTCCCGGTGCAAATACTAAAATTCCAGGATGAAATGTGCCAGTCAAGGCCTCACTGAAAAAAAGCCACTCTGGTTTACTGTTAAATTTGAGAGCTGTCAGTTAGAGAGACTGACAAGAAGCTCCTTATCATGGACAATTGGAAGGATAAACAATTAAGGCCCTTTCAGACATTCAGACTGTTTTAATGCAGAGAAGAACAGCAAAGATGAGATATCATTGTGACAGGCAAGAAGCACATTAAGCAGGAAGATAATAACTTATACTAAAAAAAGGGAAAAAAGTTCAAGGCGTTTATTGACTTAACAAGAACTGTTTTTTTTACATAAACCACAAGCTAATAGTGTTTTTCAATGCTTGCCTCCCCCGAATTAAATTATCGTTGGTAAACACTTCTGGAATTTGAAGCGGTCATCCAGGCTCTGAACCCCACCAAGACTGTGAGAAAACAATTTGAAACGACAGGTTAAAAAAACATTGAAACAAAAACAGAGTAACAGGGAAGAAAGCTCGATAGCACAAGGATCCACAGTGATGACAGGAGGTTAGAAGCAGCACCTGGACCTTGCAGGTTCTCACCTCTTTAAATGGGAAGCAGCAATAAGAAGCTAATATTCATTTTCCACACCTGACCCCTCGCCCCCAATGGCAGGGCTATTGACACTGCAGGCAAGGAAAGGTCACACCAGAGAGCAGCTCCAGAGCTAGGAGGAGCCCTCACATCCATAAATAAGCACAAGCACCTCAGGGGCTAAAAGCCCTTGCACAGGCTATAAATAAAAAGAGAGCAAACAAGCAAGGCCTGGTACATACAAGAAACAGTGTACTGTCATTTTTTTTTAAATGATGAATTTAAAATTAACTTCAGAAAATTGTTCTTTAGCAGTCTTTTGAGCCTGAGTCAGGCTCACCAATATGCCGAGCAATTCCAATGCAAGGAAACAAAGATTTTAATCAATTAGAGGCTATATACTCATTCATCATAGAAGAATGCTCACATGAAACAACTGTAACAGTCTGCATTCCTGTGACAATGGTGAGACATGAGCACGCTCTTATGTCATTTCTGGTGAACACACTGCAGAAGAACATCAGGAGGGTGACAAACCAGGAGGCCATCCGATCCTTCTAGGGCATGTGGAACTTGGCCTAGAGGCCAGGATATCGTCTTCAACAACATGGCTGGGTGAGCTTCTTCCAGACTTCCACAGCCCTTTGCTGTTGTCTGGGGCAGGAGCAGTCTCCGCTACCGTGAAGTTCTCAGCTTTCACAACCTTAAAGGGCCTGCTATCTCTCTGACTTGGGTTGCAGAAACCTGCTGTGACCTGATTCTTCTACATAAACCGGGCCATCCTTAAACGCGGCACCACATACTGGTGTGTAATTAATCACTTAATTGGTCTTTTTTAAGCCTGGTAGGGTATTTACAGTGGAGACAGGCGATAATTGTATTGCCAGGAGTCTGACAGCATCCCCCTCACAAAGGGCTTTTTAACATGAAGCCCGCTTTGATCGCTTTGCTAAGTGGTTGATGCTGCTTATAATACTAATCTGAGTTCTGGCTTCTTGTCTCTATGGAGGGCATTGTCTTAAGAAGCTGTGCCAGGCACCATAAAATTGTATCATCGCTTCATTTCAGTTACAGGAAGGCAACATAACTTCCGTTTCACAGGATGATATAAATTCCTTTTTTTTCCCAAATGGATTTTAAAAGGCCAACACCCTATGTAGCTTGCATTCAGCTCAACTGAAATAATTTTAAATATTCTAATGCATGCCAAGAGCTCAGGAGAAAACTTTAATTACCTGCTTGAAAAGCCCCTTTCAAAGACAATATAAAGTTAACATCTGTCAGCATCACCAGGAGAAACAGCCAGGACAAGCAGGCTCTTATCTGAGACTGGAATACTTGTTGCACTTCACTCTCACACTGTATGAACCATGTTCTTCTGTAAACTGGTGGCGATGCTTATGCTGAAAACCTACACATAGACATAAAAGCAGCTGACTGTCCCTTCTCAGTTTGGGACCTGGTTAACTACACACCATGTTCCATGAGGAGAAATATCTTCTTGCTGGACCAGTAATAAGATTCCCCCTTCCCAGCCCCAGAACTCCAGACTTGATCATGTTTCCCAAGCTGGCGATCCGCTGCACACTCATCTAACTCTGCAGAGGATACTCAACGAGGAGGACCGGCAAACACTGAAGAAGCCGCGAAAGAAAATTCCGAAATCAGCTTAAGGATGGGTAAATACCTAGCAGATGATGTTTAATGTAGACAAGTACAGAGAATTAACCGCAGGCTGCCAAATCAAATCATACATAAAAAATGAGAAACCTGGAGATTCAAAGTTACTTTTGGGAAAAGAGGTGTTTATGTTGATTTACCCTACACAGCTTTTGAATAGTAGCGGGGGAGGATTAGTTACTCATGCATGAAAGCTGAGCAGCATCCGTTCTCCTGATAACCCCCTTCACTGGGCTGTTTTTGTTTCTCTTTTTTGAGTTGTTTTTTTTACTGAACCACTTTTCTTGCACCTCAAATACCCAAAGCTCAGTCGCCATGATTGCAAGATGCAAAATGGGTTACGATGATTTTTCTTTTTTTTTTGCAAGACGTGCAGAGGATCACTGTCGTCTGCTGTTCCTCCTATAACCCATCTGCTTGCCGGAGTCGCTCCTCTTATCAGTTGTTCGGATTGCTTTCCGGTTGATTGTACGCGAACAATCACGGCTTCTAATATCATGGGGATTTCTCCAGGTAAGGAAGAGAAAGAAAAAAAAAAACATTGTGAAGGCTTTCAATAAAAAAAAATAAAAATAAAGAGCCTTACGTAAATAGGACAATCTGTACCAAGGTCAACGCAGTCAATAGTACCGTTAGCCTGATCTCCACTGTGCCCTTTGTTGAAGGAGAGGAAGAAATGCTTCACAGATAAGCAAACGGCCTTTTTAGATGGAACACAAAGTAACATGCTTCTTTCATCGCTTCTCATGGCTTAGTAAACTTTGTAAATTTGCGAGTCCTTTGAAAAACTCCATTCATCCGCAAAGCGGCCTCTTGAAGGATCACATCAATCTGTCAACAGGTAGCAGGACACGAAGGCGTGAACGCGTCCCCTCCACCAGTAAATGCTTGTGCAATAACTCTTGAATCCCGGATCACTCTTGGACAGTCTATGTGCAGGCACATAGAGAGCTGTTTGTTTAGCAATAATTACAATCACTGAAATACAGTGAGATGGATGTTACAGATACAATACCTAACTAGTATTGTATTTTTGACATCTCCAATAAGAAGCACCTCCATAGGAAAAAAAAGACATGCCCTATTCCCTAAAACACCGATAAAACGTACATATAGACTGGGGGTTTTGTGTACTGATTTACGCTATTCTGTTAAAAAGGCCTTCACTTCCAAATTGAACATGTTGTAGTCTTCTTATTTATTGTTATTGTCATCCTGTAAAGCGCTTTGAGAAGCCACCTTTAAAGGCGCTATATAAAATAAAGTTTATTATTATTATTATGTAAAACAATATTTGCAGAATGCTGATATTCTCTACCACCATCCAAATCTGTAGGACGTTTGTGCATGGCGCATCAACAAGAAGGCATCATGCTTGCATACTGAAATCTGCGAGCTGCGAAGGTGGCAGGGAACGAGTTGTCATCGCTTCCACAAATAACTGCACGGGGATCTGCGAGGGCTGACGTAAGAGGCCTGCTTTGGCATGTGAGGAGCCAAGTGTGTCTTTGGAGCTACATGGGCTGCAGGGGGAAGGAGAAAAAAATCTAATCATCGGCCGCCTGAAAGCGCCTCAGTGGCCGCAGACGGGTTTCTCTAGACGGCGCAAAGGCGAGAGCGGAAACACGGGACCCGAAGCCTCCAGCCCTTGCCAAGAGAAAACAAAGTCTGGCCTCATTAATCGTGCTTCATGTCTGCGAATATCTTGTTCCCGGTTTGTCACCACTGCCACCACAATGGGAGATGTCATCACTCTTCCCACAGTCAACAAAAGAGCCCGAAACAGGCATCAATAAAAGCAAACAAGACCAGAGGAGATACTGTCATTCCCCAGTAATGCATGTGCCCCCCCAGACTGGGGGAGTGGGGGAGGAACCATGTCCAGCTGAGCAAAGTGAGGTCACGCCGCTCCCCCCCCCCCCCAGAGGCCGGAAGTGAGAGGCTTTCTCAGCCACCCCTGTACTGGGAACATCTACTGGGAGCACCGCTGAGTTCACAGGGGAGGTACAAATGAAATGTGCTCCTTTGACGTCTTACGTGCAAAACAAATTTAAAATAAGAAAAAAAAATTAAGAGGAGGGCAACATCAGAGTAGATAGTGGTTTGGCCCGCTGATTAAACTCTCTCTGCATGTGTGTGTAGTATCTAACATCAATATCCCATATAAAGCTGATCTTTTAACGCATCCGTCTTTATCTCCACTTGCAGACATAGCACCTGTGTTCTGCCTCTCCTCTTTCTGCCCACGTTTTAGTCTACTGAGTGCAGTTTGCTCTGCGAGGCATTATTGGCTGTGATTTCTCCATTTCAGCAGCAGTATTCAAGCACTTGCAAAATACACAGATAAACTAGAATGAAATAGAACATCAAAATTCACTCATTGCCCTTCCACTTCTAATACTCCATAGAAAGTAGCATACACTGGGGCAAACAGGAAATTGGAAGAAAAGGGAAAAGCAAAAATAGCTATGCATTAGAAAGGGTATTGTTTTACTGACAATTTACAGACAAATCATAAAATTGCGGCAGCATCATTTCAGCTGATGACAGCTATCAGACATTTGTTTTTGCACTACTACTGTATACAATTTTCATAATTCAACCCAGCAACAGCGGTACACAAAATTCCTTGTGCTGAATTCTGTTTCAGAATGCCAGAAAAAAGATTTAGATTTATGTCCCAGGATCTTGCCTAGGATTAATCTCAGCCTACCGCGAACAGCTTACAAGTAAAGCCCATGATGGCTCTAATCAGCGTCTTTCAAACCTGCAGCAACAGAGAACACAGATGCAAGTCCCTGCTGTTGCAATTGGACAGATTGCAATACAGTCTTTTCCCGTGCATGACGCCGAACACCAGTTGAGTAGCTTTTGGAAATGCGGCGTGCCAACAGGAGCAGCGATTCGGAGGCTGTCAGCTGGAGACGGTCGCTAACGGGAGACAGACTGGCGATTCCAGAGCGAAGGAAATGGGTATGGCCAGCTGCTCCGCCAAAACTGTGGATGATGCTTCCCATGCTGTAGAGTCCAGTCCCATTCACAGTGATCAAGTTTAACACACCAGTCCAGTCCTTGATTAGGTTAAGAATTCGCCACCAGCTCATTCTCTTACATTAACATCCCAAACAATAGATCACACGCAAAGAGCCATAAAGAAAAAAAAATACAGAGCATCTCAGTACTCAGAAACAAGGAAGGGCAGGAGTGGAAACAACATTTTTAAACCCGGCAGCTCTTAACCTTGATTGTGGTTTTGCAGCTGGAAGGATGACACAAGTCCTAAGGTTAATCTGAGTTGGGGTGTGTGCCTAACTGAGATGCAGAGCTGAGGGGCGGTGTCCCAGTGTGTTACTCCAGTACCTTAGCACCCTCTGCCTGGGGTTCACTCTGTAGCACCTCCTGCTGCTGCTGCTGCTGCTGCTGCTGTTCTGCCAGCATGTCGGTCAGCTTCATCTCCAGCACGGGGTCCCTGCTCTCCAGCTCCACCGAGCCCTCAGATCCCTGGGGCACCACCTGCGGCACAGAAACCACAGGCAAGAGTGAGAGCACGTCACCCCCCACTGCACCACCGGGTCCGATACCATTTCCAAAACCAACTGGGAATGCACAGAGAATTACTGCAAGCACTCAGGTGCAACAAAGCCATGAGGAACAACAGAGAATCCATGCAGCACAAAACCAGAAAGAGTGACAATAGTTTTTAATACGAATGGACCGCAAATTGCCAAAGAACATTTCAAAGGTATGTGCCGTTCATAGAACTTTATTATATCTCTAAATTTGAGACTTATTTAATTAAGCAAATCAGTTTTCTAATTCTACATTGTCTCTTTCTAAACATGTTCCTTTAAAGCGCAGCAGAAGGCAAACACAGCCTTGAAGAGCAGAGATTCCAGAAGATCAGGAGTCGGTTCTCTTATAGACCAACCGGCTCAGGATAAAAACCCAGCCTGATGGGTAAAGATCCGAAGGCCAGTTAGCAGCAAAATAATATCATTACTTAAGTCTCAGTTTCTTCTTTGGCCGTTTCTGACACGTGAGAAAACTCCGCCAGACCGGTGCCTTTCCCTCAGAATGACACTTGAGCCCTGGTATTTCCTGAAGATGTATGCAGCCTAAAGACGACAGTACAGTGGAGGAGACCAACTCTAGTGCCGAGTGCAGCTCTGATCTGCCCCTAGTGGGCGCAGAGCCATACAGCGCTGCTCTCCAGCCAGCGATACCTTCCACTGCGCCACAAGACTGGGGTCCCTGTATGCTCTCAGGGTTTCTGAGGGGTGATGTCACGTCTGTAGCGAGCCCACCGCACTGAGCCCTCTCACAGAACACCAGGCCTGTCTCTGGGGATTGGAGATTTTCAGGTCTCCCTCCACCTCCCAAGACAAGTCAACTCGGTTAGCTAATCTCTACTTTTCTCCCCTGTGTCTGTGTGCACTGTAACAAACGGGGGTCCGGTCCAGGCTAAGGCACCACCTGGTTCCTATTGTTTCCAGGACATTCTCTGGGGCTGGCCTGACCCATATCAGGAATAAGATCTTTCCCCCATAATGAACGAGCTCCTTCTTCAACTGGCAGTGATATACAAAGGACATGTACAAGGGCGAACGAGGCAACAACCTACCTTAAGCATGGCAGCCTCTCTCAGCAAGAGAAGAAACACAGATTTCAGTGTCAAGACACCAAAGGAGCAACCTGAAACACCAGCACACTGGCATTTTTTACATATCTGCCACCACCCCCAGCATTGATAGAGGACAGACTGACCATGGGGACACCCCTCCTCCTCAGAACGATTCCTTCGGCAAGAAGAGCCTTCCCCGTCTCTTCGAACAGCTCCTCCTCTCCCAGCGCACCCCGATTCTCCAGTTCCTGGTATTTCTCCACGAACCTGGAGGAAAAGACAGTCATGGCAGTCTCTCACACACACAGATACCAACAGCCCCCTGTAACAGAGAGACGAGCAGGAGCACGAGAGAGGGACGGACATGGGACACCAGCACAGCCACGGACCCTCACGGTCACCCCACACCTACTAATAAAGAGGCACAGGCAGACAAAACAACCTACGGAGCAGTAAGCAACTGCAAACAAGCACAAGGCACCAGGGTGGCAGGTCAGAGACACTGAGGAAAAACAGGGGACTGCCACACACTCCAATTCACGAGACACTGCCAACGTGGAAAGGCAAAATCAAGATGGAGGCAAAATTAAGAGACTTGTTTTCTTACTTTTGACTAGTGGAGACAAAGCTGGTTTTGGTGAGATCCAGGACTCTGGGTCCATTCCCATAAACTTCGTAAAATTTCCTGAAAGTGCAAATGAAATGATTTAAGTAGTATTCAAATATGATCGATCCTTTTTTGTGTCCATTACAGCAGAACACAGATAACATACTGTACAGCAGGGGTATCCGAACCTGGTTCTCTGCAGATTACTTTGACTCCTAAAGCTGGGAGAAGCTGTCAATGTGGTCCAGTTAAGCCACTAACGAGTTTGTTTAGCTCGTCAGGAGCCGAAAAGGAGTCTCGCCAGTCATCTAGGACCAGGACTGGACAGCCCTGCTGTACAGGCTGACAGCGCCATCTGCTGCCAAAAACTGGGTTTACAGCGGTCTGGTTATCGTGGCAGCTCATACTTCAAAATCTTAAGCGCTGCTGCTGCATAAGAACACAGCAAAAAAAAAAAAATTCAGTTCACAAGAAAAGGTGAAGCATATTACATTACCATTGGTCTGCATCATTAAATAGATACCACATTTGATTTGCAATATCTAATTGGGGGATCTTGAAATTCTGCCTCTACTGAAATCTGCTTTAAAAAGGAAATTAACAGCTCACTGCAGAATTGCCAATACAGAGACTACCCTTTTAACCTTTTACCTGCCTAAAGCGAATCTGATGTAGACACACACAGAAGAAAAGCAAACCTACGCTCTGATGTTGTCTTCCTTATAGAGGATGTCGGGCACTTTGTCTGCCACCTTTCCAAAGCTGCTTATGGGTTTCTGGTACAGGGGCTCCTTTTTGGGGGGGAAAGCCACATACACATCGTACCAGAGGGGTCTGTCGCCTTCTTTCATGACCCCGGCGCGCATCAAGTCCCGCACCCTGCATCACAGAGGGAGAGAGATGACCCGGGATGTCCCGCCACAGACGCTCTGTCCCAGTGGACGAAACACAGAGTGTATCGAGACGGTCTCCACCCCCAGCTTTTCTCATGTCGTTCGTTTAAAGATGAGAATTCCTTGCACTTAACTGGTGCATCCTATCCCAAACCACCCTAAAGCACCTATGTGCTGCTTGGCGCAGCAGAGATATGCGATACTTGGTACATCAATTAGGATGACATCTAAACCAGCAGGGGTGTTACCCCAGTTTCCTGGCAACAACTCCCCCCTGGCCTTTACCAATCATGGCCTCCTAATAATCCCCGTCTCTGAATTGGCTTCATCACTCTGCCCTCCTCCCCACGATAGCTGGTATGTGCTGAGGGTACTGGCGCACTTTGGCAGCCATCACATCAACCAGGTGGGTGGTGGAGGGGATCCCCATTACCTGTAAAACGTTCTGAGCGGAGTGTCTAGAAAAGCGCTATATCAGTGTAAGGAATTCCTAATCATGATAACAATAATAAAAAAAACAGTGCCTGGTCGGTCAGCACTCTTCACACATAATAATAATTATTGTTATAAAGCTTATAAACTTATAAAGCACTTTTCTGGACACTCTATACAGTAATACACCCTATACAGTAATGGGGATCCCCTCCAACACCACCAGTGTGCAGCCCCATCTGGGTGACGCGACAGGAGCCAGAGTGCACCAGTACTCTCACCCACAAACTGGCTCTCAGTGGGGAGGGGAACAGAGTGATGAAGCCAATTTATAGATGGGGATTATTAGGAGGCCATGATTGGTAAAGGCCAAGGGGGAATTTGGCCAGGACACCAAATGCATAATTAAAACCTCTGAAAGGAAAATTCGCAAAAGTGTGTCAGTCAGGTTTTGAAAGCTGCCCAGCGCAGATAGATAGCGTCTATCTGGTGTACCAAGTCGTAGTTAAAATATACGCAGACTCCCAGGAAAACTGACTTTTTAGCTTTGAAATATTTTGTACAACTGTTGAGCGACAGCTGCCACCTAGCGACCGAGCGTGGGGAAAAGATTTAAACATCACCAGCCCCCGGTTTTAACTTCATTTCTCTGAGACACTGGGAGGGAATGGAGCAATAACTGTGCTTCGTTTAAAAACTTTTTTTGTTTAAAAAAAAGTATAGCAGTGTGGTTCACCGTAAGGATACTATAAAACAACCACAGCAAACTGCAGCATTCACCAGCGACGTGCATTCGAAATACCTGCTTTACTTTTTTATTTTTAAAACGCACATTCCTATAAGGACCTCACGAGACAAAATAACATACAAAGGACAAAAAATTTTAGACGCAAACGGAAAAAAAAATGGAAATGCTACAGATTCGTTTTAACCTTGACCTGTACGCGTTTGCTACAAGCTTTATCAGTTACAAACGATGGTGTGAACAGCAAGTACTGCTTCCTCAGACGCCTCACTCACCTGGTGAACACCGTACCAAATTTCTCAAGTCTGCTTCCAGCCATTGCACGCTTATAATTTCTACTTTTTAATGTACGTTTATATAATTACATCTCATTCTCACACGCACACGCCGCTTGCTGAAAGACCTAGACCACATGAGCCAACATGGCCCCCGAGGTTCGGACAATTCCGGAAAGTTTCGCAGACTTAGTTTATGTGTCGCTACCGCATTCAACATAAATGCGGATTAGACCGAAATGATCAACCCCAACAGAGAAGAAATGCTATTAATTCTCAAATCGTGCGGCCCCAGAAGAAGATGCTGGAAGTGGACCTGTGGAGGGGGTATATTCAAAGATACCTGAAAAAATTATATTATAACAGGCCCTGGAATCAGCTGAAGTCCTGAATAGTCGTTAAATAGGTCACAATAGAAATGTTAACCCCCTACCTGTGTCCTGGCTAAATCCCACTCTGAGTGTCCCTAATCATATTCAATTCACTTTAATTACAATAAATTATATTATAATAATAAGGCTTTTTTAATGTATGTTTTTACTTATGTCAATAAACGCCGTAATAGTTTCTAGTTATATAAAAAAACATTTTTGGAGGTAAAAATCACGAATCCATACGCTGTCAGAGGGAATTAGAAATCAGAACATATCTAAAAAAAATTACATATCTCAGTTTCTTTTATTTGTGAATATAAATTCAACCAAGTATTAACAGATTAGTTTCAGCTATTCTGTTTTCCATACTACATGTTATGAAATAACATAAATTAAATTAATTAAATCTAACACATTTAAATGCTTAATGAAGCCTACAGTTTTAACATAAAACATAAAGTTTAGCAAGTTTATAAAAAAAACAGGTAACAGGTTTTCTTTTCCAGTCTTACACAACACGTATAAATCATCTTGTTCATATTTGCATCTTGAAAGTGTTAGTTTAAAATGATAAAGCATATGAACTGTTTAAAACGTTGTTTTTTTTTTCGGTATCACCTCCGTGGAGCGACCCAAGGTGCGAGTAACCTTAAAACCCCCTCTAGTTTTTTAGCTCTATATTTATTCCGATGATTACCGAAGCAAGGAAGTCATAGTGCAACTTTTAAGGAGGTTGCGACCCTTAAACCAAGTCTGTAGTTTACGTCATGTCCTGTTGAGGCTGACGTTCGACAACAAAGATGGCAGGAGGAAGCAGCAATTATTGGGAAGGTGAGGTGGCAAAGTAGATTTATGTGGGATCGTGCGAGCGGACAAGAAGGCTCTATGTCCACTTTGTATATTTTTTAAGAATCGCACAATTCTCTTTTCCAGAGCAGCTGATTGTAGCTGTCGGTGTTGTATGCCCCAGTCTTTTTCGCTAGAAACTGTAGCTGTGTGACCGTTTCCTTTAACGTAGATGTCCCTTAACTCGGCGCTTTGACTCATTTTAATTACTCGTTTAAGGTCCTTCCGATTTGTACCAGGGTGATAATCAGGGGTCCCCCTTGAGGTTACAGATGATTATGTGTGTGAAACAAGTTCAAAGTACTCGGAATTACTGTACATCGTATTTCATGTTTGAGGTTTCAGATGTAACGTCATACATCGGTTTTGCGTGTTGTAGCAGGAGTAAGAAAGATTTTAAAACTTCATCTTTGCAAAGTATCACTTATGATATTAAAAAATAAATAAACGGAATATATGGGTTCATTATTTTACTCTGATCTGATCAAGAAGAAGTGGTCAGTGTAGCTGAGTTGGAGGTGACGGTGGGGTTATTGTGAGTCGCTGTGTCGTTCTCCTCGATTCTACTTCGACACCCAGTCTGGGCAACCCGTTTTCGCACATCTCCTGCAGGCGGTGACGCCTGAGCTGTAGTTACAAATGTCTGTCACTTTTATTCTTTTAAAATTCACCACCTCCCCGCCAAAGGGTTTGAAGTACGGAGTACGCACAGGTCACCGTCGACAGGCGCAACGAATAAGTGATGGACGTGTCAGATCCGGTTCCGTAAGAATTGTGCTTCGAGGTCGATTTCTGCTGCCCCATACATGATGACCATGTGCTATTATAATAATAATTGTATGAATCTGAATCCGAGTGGCACCAGAGTCTACAGGACGAGTTGAACGTGGTGCAAAGGAGTGAAAGTGTAAAACGGAAGATATGGCGCTTTGTGTTCCGTGGATTAGGAACAGCTTCCCTCTGTATTTAACTGTCCCTCTGACGTAGTAAAGATCTCATAAATACCTCTGACCAATCAAAGCACATACCCGTGTGCTGATACAACGATAAAAGAGTTATTCCTTAAAAGGTGGAAGAATAATCACGTTGTCATGCAACTGTTCCAAACAACATTTAAGCTTCTCTCTCTTCTAAAACGTACTGTGTGTTTGACTGAAATGGTAGTTGAAATCACCTCCTTCCTGTTTTTCTCCTGTTAAACTCTTTTCAGCTGGGTTAGAAGGGGCTTTGTGAGCTAAACGTTTCCCGTGCGCATGTCCTGTCCCTCTTGGCCACCCGTACACTCTCCCTGCCTGTGAGCCCGAGTCGGTCGGGAGCTCAGGGCTGATGGGGCTTTTGCGTCTCTCCTGCACCCCACAGATCTGCGGAAGCAGGCCCGCCAGCTGGAGAACGAGCTGGACCTCAAGCTGGTCTCCTTCAGCAAGCTATGCACCAGCTACAGCAGCTCACGGGAGGCCCGGCGTGGGGACAGGTGAGGCGGGCTACGTCCCAGGGGCCGGGGTTCTCCTGACGCCGGGGTTCATCCTGGCCTGCCACGCAAGACTGGGATTACGGTTTTTTGGGGGTGGGGGGGATGGGTTCCAAAACCAGGCCAGATCTGCACCCTAACGGACCAGCCCATCTGGAAAGATGAGGCACCAGGTGTGGCACAGCTTGTGTCTCTCTGCTGACTGGGCTGTCACCTGCGTGAGACAGCAGGTTTGTCACACTGGCCACGTCATTCCCAGCAGTGCTCTGTAGTCTAAAGTGCAGGACCTCCGACATTCCTAACCGGCTCCTCTCTGCCTCTGTCCCCAGTTCTGACACTACCCCCCTCCTGAATAACTCCACCCAGGACCGGATGTTCGAGACCATGGCCGTGGAGATCGAGCAGCTGCTCACAAAGGTAGGGCAAAGGCTGGACTATTGCACCTGTTGGCCAGGCGGTGATGTACCCTCTTATCACCTCTGTATTACCGCCAGTGCTCATTTTAAAGCTCTGGAGTTAATTCCAACCTCTTGCAGTTAGAAAATTAGAACGGCTACAAACGAGCTGCAGTGGAGGTAATCCAAGGATCTCACCCAGCCGTTTTCTAGAAAGAAACACGGTATTAGCTTCAACAACATGGGTGGATAGCTTGTTCCATACTCCCACCACCCTTTGTGTAAAGATTGCTGTAACGTTGTTCTTTTCTCAGTTTTAAATGCACTTCCAGTCTTTTCATTTTCCCCACAAACAATGGCCAAAAGAAGCTCCAGAATGCTAGCGAATGTGTACACTTTTATTTTTAATTAATTCATTGTTCATGCAAACATTGCGTGTTAAAAATGAGTCACATTTTTTGTGCTTTTATTCTCCTTCTTGTTGTCCCAGTTCTACTTCTGCCATGCAAGAGTCTTAGCCACAACAGGGAGTTACAATAAATGTACATTTACGTGGTTATTATAACCATTACTTAATGGCTTAATCACTATTTAATTTACATTAAAACATAGATCAGTCTGGATTAACCTATCTCCAAATGCCAACAAATTACAAGACTGCTTTACAATTGCTGATAAATATAAAAAGGAAAATTAATTGAGTGAAAGACTTTTGCATGGCTGCTCATATTATTTTTCCAAGGCCAAGCAATGTATTATAATAAAGTTGCTGGTCTTTTCCACAGATGAGGTCCCAGTCTAGCTGTGGTCCCAGTGCAGTGGTTATACCTAAGGACAGCACTGCATGTACAGTCAGGTCTTGTTAACCGGGTGCTGTCTGTTCTCAGCTCACAGGAGTGAACGACAAGATGGCGGAGTACACCAGCACGCCAGGAGCCGCCTCTCTCAACGCGGCCCTGATGCACACCCTCCAGAGACACCGTGACATCCTGCAGGTAGGATGAGTCCTGCTGTCTCAGAAAAGGGCTCTGAACTCGAGCAGGTACAGACAGGTCAGGTGGACAGCTACCATCCTGCAGAGCTCGTAGAGGGTCATGCATGCAGGATGTCTAGCGACCATGAAGTAGTGTGGATTGCAACAGATGTAAGACCTATTAATAACACAGCCCAGAACAAGGAAGTAACGTTTGACCTCATCATAGCTTTCTGCTGAGTTTTATGAGGTGTCTCAGACAGCAGTTCAAAGCCAGTAGGTCCATTGACATTGCCAATTCCAATCGGTAGGCATTGGTAGTCTTTGATCCCTCTCATAAAAATATCAGTGCTATCAGTACCAACACTCCTGGGTCAGAGCGAACACTCCTCCTGGGCAGGGGATAGTGATCAGGAACAGATCTATTTGATCCCGCTGTGAAAACGCCCTCAGAATTAGCTCCCAGCATGCACTGCAGCACCGTGACCGCTGTCACTTTTGTCAGCGGTGCTAAAAAATATCCTGCTCTAGATTGTGTCCTCAGAGGAAACAGGTAAGCATTTTAAAAACCTGGAAGTTTCCATTTTTCTAATTATTTTTGGAAAAGATTTCCTCTCCCATGTTTTGTCCTTTGGCTGTACAAACATTGGTCAGGCACTAGGGTCACATCTCGAAGCATCGCTGCGGATCTCTGCGTGTTGCTCAGGAATGTTTGATCCTCAAGAGAGATGACTGTGCAAATGTGCCTAAGGAAATTATGTCATCGATTATATGATGTCATGGCATATGTGTACAGTGCGACATGCTGCTTTGACAACCTCAGCATTTTTAAAACGTTATGATCAGCAGATGAATTGGAGTTTGAAGACACATCAAATGGAATAGCCTTGTTTTATTTTTTGCTTTGTGGTCACATGATTCATTAAGTTTGAATAATCGAAGGCTGCCAACGATGGTCTCCTCAGACCCATCTCTATAAGCAGAAGTTACAGGAGAGGTCATTGATTAAGAAGGAGGTGATGGCACCAGGGGTTTGGAGAGGGGAATTGTGGGGGTGCTGTAGAGGGCCCCCACTTCTGCCCATTCCCTCCATGGACACGAAGATGCATCACCCTGGGAGTGCAGTCAATTAGCAGGAGAGATCTGGTAACTGTGATTAATATGCGGAACCCCGCCTTGGGTGTACACTGTGTTACCCTCAGCAGAAGGCAGGTTAGGAAACCAAAGAGGTGATGAATGACTGGCTTTGCTAACAAATTGATTTTTCCATATCTGGGGCCCATTACGATCAATGAGTATTTATTCCCGAAGCGTGACTCAAAACAAGACTGGTCATTAAACCTTCCCTGTTTGTATCAGGGATTGATCTGAAGTGGGCTTGAAGTTTAGGGCAGTTCTTTTCTAATCCAGCGTGCATGCAGTCATTGGGAATAGCTGTGCAGTTTTCGAATTACAGTATGCCGAGCACGATCCCCAGATCAGAGCTCTGTCACAGCGTGTCTGTTGTTTAACGCAATGTAAGGAGTACTGTGTACAGGACAATGAAAGTACTGTGATTCTGAATGCTTTATGGGATAAATGTGGCCTGTCTTTTTTTTTTATTGTAGTCATTTAAAGTGCACTCATGTCATTGCAACAACACTCAATACTTACTCATGTGTGAGAGCTAATTTGCAAGGCTGTATTAGTTGTAATGTCATACTGTTAGATTCACAGAACCTATCAAATGCTCTGCAGCTGTCGTTAATGATCATTTTCAGTTTTGAGTGAGAATCCTGCCGACGAGTGTAATTTGCACATGGTTTTAAAGACATTTCCTCAAGAGGCTTCTGGTTGTGAGGGAAGGAACTGAATATTGCTTTAGTGGGGGAAAACACCACTTTAACCTAACCGTAATTCTAGAGAATGACTCTGCAAATTCATTTATCATTGGAAACGGTTTCAAAACATCAGACAGTCTCAGTTATGATTGTTGGAATATGTTGGATAGGCTTGGGCATTGTGTGTCTTTGCTCCTTGTAGCTAATTTGGAGGCGTTTAGTCCACATGCAGGTGTTGTGGTTGAAGCTGGCTGTGCTCTCGGAGCAGCTGATCTGAGTGGGAGGTCCCATGGGGGAGAACTTGGGCAGCTCTTGTGGAGTCTTGCGATGCCAGTTTTTGCAGAAAAGTACTTTTGAGCACGGTTGGCGTCTGTGGTGTTGTCTGGCTCTCTCGCCCAATCTCAAATTCAAAGAGTTTTAATCGCTAGACAGATTAATTACAGCTTTGCCAAAACAATAGCGATAAGAAAAACAAAATAAAAAAATAACAACATTTGGGAGTCTGTTCCTCAGGCTGTCAGACTGAGAGCTCCACCTTCTCCCTCAGTCTCACTCTGTTTGTCAGGGTATGACCAGAGCCTCTCTCTTACAGGACTACACCCACGAATTTCACAAAACCAAAGCCAACTTTCTGGCCATCAGGGAGAGAGAAGACCTCCTGGGCTCCGTACGGAAGGATATCGAGTGAGTATGTCCCTTGTGTTTGTGTGCACTTGATTAGTGGAGTGGTTTCACCTTGAGGAAAATAAGAACACAAGAACAGTTCCAAACAGCAAGAGCCATCATAAGTTAGGAAGGTATGAAATGAATTCATGCAACTTTTACGAATGAAAGAGGTCCAGCAATCTGTGTCAAACCTCACTTTTATTTCTTCATGTGGAGAGGCCTTGGTTTGGTCGTTGGGGTCCTAGTGTGGTTCAGACTCTTCCTGGGTGTGATTCCACAAGTGTCCACGAGAAGGTGCACTTTCCCCTGGATTGGCAGACCACAGCCAGCGCTGGCAGCCTCTCTGTGTTTCTCGCTGATCTGAGCGTCCTGGGGCCCCTTAACCAGGCTGGGAGTGCTTATTCACTTCAGGAAAGAGCCAAGATACTCTTAGGTTCTGTAGTGTTTGGGGGCATTTGATCTAATTACCTTCCTAGCAGAAAATGACAGATCTCCCCTCAAAGGCGCAGGCAGGAAACTTTCTCTGCCAGTAAACCACTGTGAACTTGATGTTGTATGAGTCTTCGTTCTCCAGGGTTCCGGGCTGAGTGCAGGCTGAAGATACGACAATGAGGATCACTTGGTTAATTACTTTAGAGTCTTAATGCAGGAAATGTCATCAGCGGTTTACAGGACAAAAAGCAGCGGAGGATGGCTTTCTTGAGTTAATAGCTGTGCTCCACACCAGGGCAACTGAAGCCGCTGCAAATGGAGCTGGAGGCCGTGGGCGGCAGGCTGAGGAATTGTTCCCCTGAGGCCTGGTGGACCCTCAATCTCTTCAGATTAAATGTGGTGTCATTCCTTCTCCATTTGCTAACAGCCCCTGTTTCTTCATACTGTTCTTTTCTAGGTTTAGGGACGGCTAAGATCTCTGTTACAGCCCTGTGGTTGTGCTTGTACGAAGCAGCAGAAGCATTACAATAAAAGTGTCAATCAGCAGGATAATAGTTCCAGCGGACTGATTTCAGACACATGTAGCAGGGGGTCTGGGTTTTACTGCGTGCACACCTATAGGGAAGCCCTGAATGCTCTTTATGACTGTAGCAGCAACTCTGTTGCAGATGACCTTGGGCACAAGCAGTAAAAATTGCGCATCAGTCACTGCATGGAATGGGATTGATGTTACTGCGATGAATGAATGTGATATGAGGGGCAAGGCAGAGTAGCAGGTAGGTCTCTGGACTGTTGTGGGCTGTTGGTTCGAACCCCTGCACAAGACAGTGCAGGTGCACCTTGAGTGAGCTTGCCCCAGTCCAGCCAGCTGGGCGTATGGGAACTGTTTACTGGGAGCAGACTTGGTGATGGAATAAGATCCTGTTTTGTTTAACACATTTGTTTGTTTAGCAGTTTAACACCTCTGTTTATTTAGCACCAAGGCCAAAGGGATTCTCTCTGGGCTGATGGGCCTTTGTTCCTCAAATACAGAATTACCTGCCAGTGAACGTGATGTGAAACAATGGATTTCAGTCTTGTTTAGTGATGCATGATACATAAATTATAAAATTATAAAATAAAATATGATCCAGTGTTGCCTGGAGTACAAGTAAGAGCCTGTGTCTGTAACTGCTGATCACAGGTAGAGTTAGGACAGTGCTGAGGCAGCAGTGTGGAGCAGTGGCTGGGACTCTGGGCTGGATAGTTGTAGACTCAGATCCTAAGTTGTAACTTAGAGTAAGATATTTTGGTCAGATTGCTCCAGTAATTTCCCTGCTCTAGAAACGGGTGCCCTTCATGTCATCATGTGTGGGGATCGGTAGTTCTGTCAGTACGTTCTGGTTTTGAAAGATGAGCACATTCATTCAAAATGGAGAAAGAAAATGGGACAGAAATGGGACATAATTATTGAATTTTCGGCAATAATAGAAATGACCAGGGAGGTTACAGTAGACTTCCTCTCCTGCAGTATCATTCCTCGACCACAAGATGTCAGTAAGTCAGTCGGTCTATGTAGGTACGGTATGTGCTTGATCAGCCAGCTGGAGTAGTGGTTAAGGCTCTGGACTCTTGCCTAGAAGTTTGGGGGTTCCGATCCAAGGTAGGATGCTGCTGTTATGCTCTTGAGCCAAACACTGCACTTACATTTCTGCAGGATAATTGGGCCCCTCTCCAGATTGTTTTAAGAATTTACAGGATTAAAATAAAAAACTGCATATAATTATAGTTGACTGTGAAGTGCATCCTGTTTACTTTTGGCAAGGCACTTTAATTTAAGATCTGTTTTTTAATTTGTCCTGCTCAGATTTGTTCTTCACCAGCGAGTCGCTGCTGCTTGTATAAAGCTGTGGGTTACAAACGCCGGGACAGAAAGGGTTCGAGAGAGGTCTGCGCCAGGGCAGTATGGGGGTGTGTGTGATACGTGCCACAGTGCAGTACGTTGGTTTCAACCAGCCAAAAGATGAAGCGCATTGATAATGCGAGTCCCTAATAGTTACTCTTTCTCCAGTGCGCACAACTTGATATTGCGTCCGACACTGTTCCCTCCTCACCTGCACAGCAGACGCCTGTGCTGAGCCACCTCTCTGTTTCCACAGGACATACAAGAGCGCATCAGGAGTGAACAACAGGAGAACAGAGCTGTTTCTCAAGGAACACGAGCACCTGCGCAAGTAAGAGCCTGTGTCTGTACCAATCTACCATCCGGCAGCAGTTTGATTCATGGGGACTTTCCTAACGAGGCTGTTTCAGGCAGCAGACACAGCAGAGGTCTGGCGTGCACATGTTCAAGTGAGAGACCTGCGCTGCGCTGCTGCAGAGTCCGATGGACGGAGCGAAGATGAAATGAGTGTGTTGCCTGATTTACAAGCCTGCTAAAGGAAATGGCATACCAATCGTGCTTCTGCAAAGCTTTCTGGAAAAGTTGCAATTTAAAAACTTTTATGAGAAACAAGGCTTTTAAAGCACAGGGGCAGTTTTCTAAGTAGTCTTTGGAATTTTAATTAAATTAAAATGTTTGGCTTTTTTTTTGAGCAGCCGCTGCAGTTCAAATCCCTCAGCAACACTTGGCTGTTGGAGAGTAATTCAGGTCAATTATTCTGTACCAAGATTGATGTTAAAACAAGAAACGTTGAGGTTAATAGTAATTACATTTAAATTAGCTTAACTGGGAAATCCAATTAAGATAAAGGCATAATTGTGAGGTATTGTAAGTCTAAGAGTGCATGAGCCATTTACCAATCAAAGCTAAGTCTTGAAAGGTAAAGTACTTTACACGTTTGCCATACTTTTGTAGAACAGTGGTTAAGTTATCAGCAATATGTGCAGTTTTCCCTCTGCTTCATATGATTGGGGTGGAATTTGCTGCACACATTGCAGACAAATTGGGCTGCTTTGTGTTACAGGCTCTGTGCTCTCTAGTTTATAAAAAAAACAGTAGCGGAGATTCCCTGAGGAATGTCAGGGGAGATCTCCTGCAGCGGGTTGGAAAGGGAGAGGGATACAGACGGGAGAGTTAGGATGTCGGATCCCGCTGGTGAAAGCTGACACCCGCTGCCCTGAGACAGATGTGGCCAGCCGCCAGCAGGCCCTCACATTACTGACAAGCAGGAGGCCGTGGGTGAGCCCAGCCTTGTGAAAGAGGACTCTCCCTCAGAGATCTGGTCCGCTATTAAATATTCAAACAGCAGCAGCCAGGCAGTGTGGCGTGTTTCCCATGCTCCCTCACAGCTGTGCGTCACCTCTGGAGCCTGAAGACACAAGGCTGCCTGTGTTGAGGTGGAATAGACCAGTGTGAGCGCACTAACTCTGCCAAAGACATCACTGAAACTGCTACTTCAATAGGTTATGGATCACAAGTAAGGTTTAAGCCAGTGTATGATGGGGAGTGGGCCCCATGCTTTAAAAACATTTTTTAAATGCTTTATGTAAGGCTCAATCCTCTTGTTTTCCATTTGAATATGGCATGGAATATGGCTATACAGTATATGAATATAGTTTGCATCCAGCTCCTTGGTCGAAAATTCCCCATTGCCAAGGTTAGACAAAGGCAGAAAAAAATAACTCCCCATACTAGACAGTTCAACCACTGCATGATCTAACAAAATGAGCAGCCGTGCTAACCAGTTAGTGTCCTACAACCTCCCAGCGGTGTGAGCCAGGTGTCTCTCCTGGAAAGATAAACGTGAGGGACTAGCTGTGAAATCCAAAGGTTACTTTAAGACGAAAAAGCCCTGATTCATCAGAATTCAGAAGGTACTTTATTTCTATCAGCCTGCTCCCTTTGACTAAATGAAAATGAATTGCTGATTGCCAAGGTTTTGGTGCCATTTGTTTCATGCTATTTATTTTGCTGTTCCTGTTGCCTTGGCTTGGCTTGATTTATTTGCCTTCCCCCCCCCCTTGCAAAATGCAGTTAATCAGCCCTCCAAAATAAAGCGCACAGTGTCAATTCCTTGCATGAGCGTGGAGCGTCCTTTTGTGATCACTGAGTTTGGCTCTGCTGCTGCCCTCTAAAGAGGACGGAGTTCTCGTCAGTGGTGGTGGCTCTGATGGTCTGAGTTTGCCGTTTAAGTGCTGCTGTCTTTAATTGATACATGAGTCTTGATCTGTTAGGACGTACTAGTTCCTGTAACTTCCTTCAATTACTTGAAAGCTGTATAGAAAAATCTTAGTTCTGCTGCCTCCAAGTTGAGTGGATTCCCACAGTTTAAATGGTGAGGATTTTGATGTTAGACGTAAGGTTGGAGAAGTACAGGGCACTTCAGAACTGCAGAATTCAAGTTGTTTTAAATGTATCTTTTTTTTATTTGAAAAAGATGGTGTCTTGTGCATCAAAACAATGAAAAAAGGGTGAAACTGGCTTGGTTTCATGTCTTGAAGTCCTGTGCCTGTCCTGTGCAGCGTGCGTCTGTGCGTCTATGGGAGCCCTACCTGCAGGTGTGGAGCTGGCGTGTGTGACCACCCTCCCTGCTCCCACAAAGCTCGAGGGTTGTGGGGAGGAGGAGGGTGGGTGAGTGCGTCAGTCATTACAAAACGCCTCGTCGGCCAGATCCTGCGAGGCTCATCTTTTAAAATGTCTTCCAGCTCATCTTGTCGGTAAATTATTCATCCTTTTTCCATCTTCGCGCCCGTTCGTCTCCGTGTAACGAGTGTGGCAGGGAAGTGGCGGGTGAAGGAGGGAGGAGAAGAGGAGAGGGGTTTCCCGCTGGCGTGACGAGTGAGACAAGAGTGGGCGTCTGGACGGGGAACAGGGTGGATGGTGCTTCACAGAACTGAAGAGGAGGAGGAGAGGATAGACAGGTTATTTTGGGGCTGTAATGTTTTGATTCACTTTTGATGTGCAACACACTATGTGGCTTTATAGAATGGCCTTTTTGTCCATCCTTCTGACCTGAGAAGTTAGTTAAGGTTTATTTGAAGAATAGGTGTAATCTAGTGGGGGGAAACAAGGGAATAAAAACTTTAACAGTACTGTATGCAAGTCCTTCGGGCCACTGGCTGTGCTGCTGTGTTATATAGCCACCCTGTTAGGAAATGCAACTTAGGGGGCGGTATGAATTGTCTGAATCTTAATACAATTGGCTTCATTAACAGGGCGTTTCTTTGCAGCTCTCCTGTGCTTTGGTGCTCACATTGACTGTGTGCTTTCAATTCTTAAATCATGTAACCTGACCCTGAACCACCAGCACGTCTCGGTGACCTGGCCGCAGAGGGGACGGGCCTTTCAGGGACTACCAGCCCCCAGTCCTGTGGGAGGGCAGGTCCTGTTTGTTCCAGCCGAACGAGTCAGCTTTTCAGAGGTGCTTGGGGTTCGCATTAACAAAGTGTTTCCCCTGCTACATACAGTACAGCCTTTCTTAGCAGTAATGAGGCTTCACGCTGTTGTTACAGAGGAACTGTTTTTTCACATCGCATTAATGATCCAGTGAAACAGGATATGCGTGAATATGGGGCTGAAACGCTTCTCTGTTGTTTTGGCTGAACTTATCATTAGGCGCGCATTTTGCTGTTCATGATTTCTCCAGAAGCTTCACGATGACAGATTGTTCCCACTTTGGAAACCAGAAGTGAAATTAACTGCAGATGCAGGGGTATGTGTAAATTACATACCCATTGGGAAATTAATATACATGCATTATCTCCCATTAGGTTCACCAGTTGACAGTGGCCGTCCTGCACAAACACTTTTTTAAATCCAGCACCAGTTAGTTCTGAACAACCAGTAACTGAATCAGCATTAACTAACAGTGAGGTACATTGACTAGAGTCTGCTTCCGGGACAAGACGTCATTGTTATTTAGCATTATATAGGCACAATTCTATATTTTCCCCAAACATAAAAAAGTACAAATGCATTCACACTAGCTTTAACTGTAATAGAATCCTAAATCTGCACTCCGAGAGCTAATTATTGGGTTAATTGGAGCAGTTTAACGGATTTTCCCTTTTTAAGTGCTTCCATTTTGAAGAGATCCGAGGAATGGGACGTGGGTCTCCACGCCTGCTGGTTTTCATTCCAGCCCATTGAATCACTTAATTTAAGGCTTCATTGAACTAATAGTTGCTTAATTGGAACATTTGCAAGTTGTTTTCTACTCAGAAGGGAGGGATTTGATAGTACTAATGATATGTAGTAGTTAAAGGGCAATCTCCAATATGTTAAAGAATGGAAAAGAACCAAACGGTTCAAATGAACTCCCACCAGGAGTTCTCAAACGACCAGGACCTGTTATCCCAGAAGCCAGTTATCCTACCAGTATGTTTTTGGACTGTGGGAGGAAACCAGAGCACCTGGAGGAAACCCGCATAAACGCAGGGAGAACATATAAACTCCATACAGACAGCTCCTCAGGTCTGAACTCATGGCCTCAGTACTGCAAGGCAGCAATGCCAACCTCAGCTCCACCGCGACGCACGTTTCTCAAATCCTTTATCCTGATTCAGGATGCAAGCGACCGGACTTTCCCAGCTGCAGATCAGGACTACAGTGGGGGGGTAGCTGGGCGTCAGGATTTTTTGCAAATTCAGAGATCCGTGCTCTTCCTCCTCAGCTGACAGCTGACGAAGGATGTTTCAGCTCAGAAGACACACGGCGCAGCTTTTCCTCCTAATTAACAGGGAAATCTGGAAAGGGAGACATACCCCGGCACCTCTTGCCAGCGCCAACTGTTTGTAATTACAGGATCCTGGCTGGCGTTTGCTAATTGGGTCTGCGGGGAGCTGAAAGTCTCGTGTATCAGCAGTGCGTCTCGCTGTACCCTCGCGAAGAGCACCCCCGCTTTCCTTCCTCTCCTACACAGGGGTGGAGCAGAAACACACCATGCTGCTCATCTGTGGCTGGCCTGTATGCACTGTAGGACAGCAGAAAGTGTGGAGCAGTTCATTTGTATTGTTCTTTGCGATAAATTTGGAAAGATAAGGTTTTGTCCCAAGGTGATTGTCTTTTTTTATTCAGACTGGCGAAGTAGTAGAGCAGACACTTCTTATATTTTGCATTACTTGCTTTATGTTACTGACTTGTATTTCTTGAGCTCTGGAGACCTTATAAACCTCATTTGGCTTTGTCGTTGTAATTGACAATTTTATGAAACGTTAAACCTGCGACGCAAACATCCATGCGTATGCGTGTGTGTATTTTATATTGTCCTTTTCGCTCTGTGACCAATTCCTC